GGGAAAAAATATTAAAGAACTATACATCTGAAAAAACAATTAAAAAAACTGGAAACCTCATAAATTGTATTTGGTTCCCAGTAAATCCTCAAAATGCATGTGCACTATTATTTTTAATTCTTCCCTGGCTTTTCTAATTATTTTCTAATATTTTAAGAAAAACCTAATTATTTAAGAATTAAGAGAGTCTTTGTTCTACTACATTTTTGGGATAATTTCTTCAGTATAGTTTGGGTTTAGCTTAAGATGGAAAATGTTAATTTAAAATCTTCCTCCAAAGCTGTGGAGCCTGTTTTAAGGTCTCAAGTTTCTGAGGTTAGTGCTAATGGTGCTACACAAGACTTGTATTTTTGTATTGGAATGGAAGCTTTGGGTTCAAAAGCCACGTTGCCAATAAACCAAAATTTACTACCCAGGAGGATGGGCAATGCACACGGGGGAAAAAAAAAAAGAAGAACTTGTTACAAGTTCAACTACTGAGGTAAGTAATAGTGCAACTGAAGAGGGGGATTTATTAGTGCTGTACATTTCACTGGGCACTGTACAGAGCAAAGTAAAGTATTTGGGGTAATTCATCTTCTAGTCTCCTCACAAATTATGATGCAATGGCTTTAATGTAGTGGGTAGCAAAGAGTGACTGCACTTCTCCCGTGCAGTTGCCGTATACTTTACATAGATCAAAATTGCACTTGACCCCTCAGCCCTGCAGCAAAGGGTGCATGATATTAATTCAGCTACATTACCCATCATAATCCTTTTCATACAGTTCCATCACACTTTTCATATAGGTGCATCACACTAGTAGACAATAAACATGTCTACCATCTAAGAGTCATGCTTAGTGCAAAGCACTCTCTCAAAGAGCTGAACTTCTTTGTTAGTAAATTTTACCTCATCTGTGCCAGGGAAGGAAGATTCTTATTTGACTAGCTACTGACATGTGTCTTCTGACTGTTCTTGGCTGATTAATATATATGGTTTATTACTTTTAACATAAGAACTACAGTAATTTCTTGGGCTGCCTGAATTACAAATATAGTCCTTCACAGGGACCAAGAACAACTGATTGCAGTACAGCACAAAACAACACATTTATTGACAACTGGAGCAGTTCTTTTCCTACAATGATAGTCTACTTGCTGAATTCACAGAGCAAGAAAGTCATACATTTAAATACACAGTGTTGCTGAATGAGTTAGGTGACAACAAATATGTATTACTTTGCAATCAGAAATATAAAGATATAACCTAAACCTTTGGGATAAGTGTTGTGCCCATATTTTAAAATTATATGGTTGAGCACTGGCCTGTACAACTTTGATTCAGCACCCCTTTGCATATGCAACAAACTGTAGCAAAATACACAGTTTCTTTTTTTTCTTTTAAAATGCATTCCCTTTCCTTCCCCAACCATTTCTGATTTTGTCTCTCCCTCTTTATTCCCTATAGATAAGTCTAAGTAAGCTAAGATGTAGGATAAGCTTTAACGTTTTATTTTAGGTAGTACATTTTATTTTTCTCTCCCCTCTGCCAATAAATGCCCTGCTATTTTGATATAGATATCCATTGTTTTATAAATTATAATTATTATGTTTGTATTGATTTTTTACTGCTTTTATATTTTGTGATTACCTTTTAGGCCTATTTATGTAAGTTAGCATAAGTCATGTCAAGTTTCCATCTTGTAATGTCAAGCCTCCATCTTATCCCCATGCCTGGTTGTGTAACCCATGACTCATACTACCCCTCTTATGTAACTTGGTTCCTGAATGAATGGGGATGAATGAGGGTGCTTGAGAGACAATGGCAGTACATCTAAAAATAGCTCCCTCTGAATGACCAAACCATCCACACCAATACCTGGACCAACGACCCAGCACTTGGAACCACCCTCAGCATTCAAGAAACAAAAGATGAGGCAACCCACCATTGCACCAAGGCTGCACATGCTCAGTAAGAACACCTGGAGCCCTCTGGAACAGGACTGACCTTGCCTGGACAGGCCCTCCCATAGGAGATCAGAGGAAGTCTGCCCCATACAAAAGGGTAGTGAAGACTGACTCTTTGGGATGCCCTCTCCATCTGGACCAGCACTATGCCATACCACCTATCCACCCAGAGGCCCTGTCGGTGACCCCCCTCTGGACAACACCTGCTGGACAAGGACCCCTTTCCAGCCTGGATAGGTAGCTATCACCCCCTACCCCCTCTTCAACCAAGGACTTGGACTCTGTTTCTCTTCCCTACCTGGACTCCAGCCCTTCCACTAAGTCTCTTTTTCCTGTTGCCATTGTGTGTGTGTGTGTGTGTGTGTGTGTGTGTGTGTGTGCGCGTGCGCGCGTGTGTGTGCGGGAACCAATAACTTCATGGGGCTATGTAGTGTGTTGTCCGTTTAATAAACCTGTTATTTTGAAACCTCAAGTTGGGTTTTTGTCTATTTCCTGACTGTTTCCTCCTTGCCACCACTTATCTGCCCCCCGCAGTCTCTAAGCTGTCAGCCTGTTTCAAGCCCCAAGCTCTCAGGTTTCTGCCTCTCTCTCTTTCCTGGCTGTCTCCTCCTTGTCACCACTTATCTGCTCCTCCCCTCCCCCACAATATCTCAGCTGTCTGCCTCAGTTTCCAGCCCCAGCTTACCTTAAGTAACCCCAAGCCTCAGTTCCTCAGACCACTTCCCTCTAGTCGACCAATTCTAATCCCGGTTCTGGCAAATTTCACTCCTTAAACTTTAACTCTCTCTCTCTCACCTTAACCTTCCCCCAAGTATCCCAGGTACCCCAAGCACACACACACATACCGTACCATCCAAGTTAGGAACTTACCTATGTGTGTGTATGTGTGTGCGTGCATGTGATTGTGTGCATGATATATGAATTGTACTGAGTGTGAAGGTATGGACAATTAATTTTTGTTTAACTTTTGGGGTGTATAGTGTATGTGCTTGAATTGATGATAGACATTCATGTGCCTAGGCTGGTATGGATGTCTATGTGCTTGAGTTGGCAGTGTGTGTGTATGCACCTAATTGATTTGTGTGTTTGTATATGTGCAATTGTGTCACACACCCCTGTCTAACAGCACAATATTGAGATCCTGAGAGTTGGCCTGACCCCACAGGGTAACAAAACCAAAAGGAAAAACAAACAAACAAATATACAAACGAATCTCATAAACAATGTTTCATCCATCTGGGTACCAAATGAGTCAGGTATCTCATAAAAAAATAACTTATTCAAAGATAGCATCATAATGAACAAGCAAGAGGTATACGACATTAATTACAGCTTTCCTTACCTTGAGAGTGCTTGATTTTGCAACCTTAATAATGTACTCTTAACATAAGTCTTTTTTTTTTCCATTTATATAAGAGAAGACAGCAGCACATTAAGAAATATCATGCTTGTGGTATAGGAATAACAAATGCTACCCTAGGGAGAAACTTCTGAGTAATTTATACAATGCCTTGACTTATCAACAGCATCCTAATACACTTGCAATCAGGCACAAGACCAGACCAATACATTTCAAGGCAACAAGTACCCAAGCCAGCGATACATACATACATAAATGCTGCTTGCTACTCTGGGCTGCATGGCATCAGTGGTTCTAATATACAGTGATTCCAGGACCACATCATTAATCACAGGGTGGAAATAGTAGTATCTTTACAAAGAATCTTTATTGCATTGGCAGTAAAGCAGTTGTTTGGTACTTCTCTGAACCCCCCATAAAATTGTACACACTGATAGAACAAAGTGTTGATTTTGCCCCATCTGTGAACTCTTTTAGTGGGATTGTAAAATGCCAAGAACATCTTGTCTAAAAGCAGATGGATTAGCATAAACTCAGCAGTTGGTTAATGCTTTAATTCCCTTTGTTAATTGGGTTCTTTGACCTCAGCAAAAAGATTTATCAAAATAAGTCAACCACCACATCCTTCCCACTGTCTTAGCTCTACCATGTTCTCACAGAAGATAGATGGATAATCTTCCTTCATGCTCTAAGACAGGTAACTGGAGGCACTAATCTTAGGCTACTAGAACAACAGACTGAAGAGGCAGTAAGCCTGGCCACTCCAACACATGATTTTAAATCTCACTGAATCCTTTTCCTCAGTTTTTTTATTATTCCCTATCCCGCAGAAATTTTTTGAGGACAACAATCCCTAAAACACATCAGTAATCTAGGAATACACCAGCTGCTGGTAAAACTACAATTCAGGTTTAACGAAAATGTATTAGAAATCATAGCAAAAACAGCCTTGAAAGGATTAAGCTTGTGAATTTACTGTTATGTTAAAATCAACTGGTTTGTTTCTTCTCACGCTGAGGCAAGATTAAAATGTGCAACTTGTAAATTCTTTTCTTTAACTTAAAACATCAGAGAATGAGCAGCTTAGTATTCAAAGTTTGAAATACCTCACACTTACAAATCCAAGTTTTACATAGACCGACACAAGAGAAGGTAAGTATATAGGTATTTTGGATAAAAATAATATTTCTTTTCTAAATCCATTTCTCTCTCACTTCTATTTTAGCACCATTTAACCTATTGACTACTTGCAAAGCATCATTTATTTTGTAAAATTACTTCAAAGGGAACCCCAATATTGAAATAATTGTCAGGAAATCTTTCAGATTCACCCTCTACAAGCTGCATATTTCCACATCAAAGGGTTTGGGGGGTTGGGGTGGGGAGGGTTGAGACGTACAAAACCTTAATTTTAGAATGCAAACTGCTTTTTCATGTACAAATCAAAATAAGGCAGGAACCTAAATAACCAAAATGTTATAGGAAGATTATAACTATCATAACTTTTGAGGTCAAGTTGTACCCTTTCGAAAATCTGTTCTTAAATTTTCACTACATGTAGCATATGACAGATGCTTACTGCACTAGCTAGGATAAATAAAACCGAGTGACAGTTTCCTTGCACAATTTCATAACATAACATTTCTGGACAGAGAACTGATCAAACAAATTATAAAATAGAAGCATCCTACCAGGTCTTCTGTTTTGTGGTTATTCAGCAAATCAGACAAAAAATCATCATGGAGGCTCTCTCTCCGAATCAATGTAAATTCACGCAGAAAAACAGCTCCTTGGTTTTGGTCTCCACAAACCTAGAAAGTTAAGACAGTAATGCTAAGTACAGACAGCTAAATAGGCCAAGGATGAATCAATTCAATCTTCGTAGGTTAGTCTGTTCACTGATAAAGCAAGTAAACAGACATGCACTTTTTATTCTGCAAACGCAGTCACATGCCTGCAGTGGACCAGGCCAGAAGCTGGGGGGTGCTACTGCATGCTTCCCTGTTCAGCTGGAAGAGACAGCTAGCTCACCCACCCTGAAACGTCAGGGTTTGCAGGGGAGGTGCAAAGCATCCCAGAATGGTGGGGTACTGTAAGTTAACTTGAATATGGAGGGGATCTGGGACAGAAGTTTAATAAACTGATTTAACCTAAATCAGTTAAGTCTGATAATATAACCATTTAGGTTTATCTTAAACCAGTTTTGGTCAATCTTAAAGCAGTTTATGTACACTGAACTGCTGTTGTGTTACAGATTTGGACTGGTTTCTGATGACTTATACCAGTTTATGTGTAATTTCTGTCTTTAGCCTATGAGAAGCAATTTGTCAACACTGCTGTTGGCACCATATCCAAGGGAATGAAGCAACCTGATTAACTAGCGTGTCTGTTAATGGCTTTTTGTCTCTCAGATTATTAGATTAATTACAATTCCAACCAGTGTTCCTATTACCGTAAGTGGAGGCCTAACTTTAAAAAAAATGGACTTATAGTTTGCTCAGACGCCCAATAATAAAAAAACCTCTGCTTTTGTAATTGGTTGGCAATTTGCTTCTGAAAAAGATATAGTGCACTATTAAAATCACCTTGTGGGCAGTGTTACAATTCCTACAAAACATTATGAAATTTTGATATCTGTCCCATGTATCTACAAGATCCAGTGGGACCCTTTTAAAGTTGTGATGGAAAATCTGAGAGCTGGGAAGGATGCATATACATACAATGTATGTGGTACATTAGTAGGTATGGAAACAAACAATACATAGTTTGAAATTTAGTTTAGAGCTAATTATGAATTAGGACTTTTCAAGCCTAGTCAAAGCTGTAAACTGTTTGGGGTACAGATTCTTCTAAGTGTCTACAAAGCACCAATCACAATGCCTTAGATTCTATTATTAGCAACCATCAAAGTATTATGCTCTTTTCTGTAGTTATCCACAACAACAAAAAATAAGATGTTTTAAAAATTGCAAGCACATATTAAATGCAACACTAGATCACATGTTCCATCTCCCCTTCCACCTCCCCACTTTCTCATACACAAAAGAGAGGCCTTCCAACTGAAACCAGTCAGAAGAAATTCTACCACCAAGGGAAGTTATTAAGCTGGAGGAAGTTATTAAACAAGTGAAAATAGGGAATTTATCAATTGAAATTAACAGCTTTTTCAATCTCCTACTCTTTTGCAAACAGTTTTAAACACAGCTCATTTTGGTAAAAAGGAGCTTCTCTACATAGGTTTTAAATAAACAGGCTCAAGCCCTTGCACAAATAAAAGCATATAATAGATCTCAGACCTCTAATACAGTGGCTACTATCCAACAATCATTATTGAGGAACTGTTAACATATTTGAGATAGCACAGCAGAGGAAGATAAAATAATATCTCACATCAGTGTATGGTAACTGCTGCTTTTTTAAATGATGACTTCTATGCACATATATATGCATAGTATATATGCATCCTGTGTACAGGACCTCCACCTGACACAGGAGGTACATGGTCCCACTAGGGGGAATGCCTTGCTGGACCTGGAATTGGCAACGGGGGATGACATGGTAGGAGACCTACAGATCGGTGGTCACCTGGGGGACAGTGATCACCAAATAATAGAATTCACCATAAGACGTTGAGTGGGTAAGGTAACTAGTAGGGTGAAAGTGCTCGACTTTAGGAAAGCTGATTTCAATGAACTCAGGCATTTAGTCAAGGATGCACTGCAGAGTAAGAGTTTTGAGGAGATGGGAGCCCAGGAAGGGTGGCTGTGCCTTAAGGAAATGATCCTTCGGGCACAGAGGGAGACGATCCTGATGTGGGGAAAAAGGGGGAAAGGGGCCAAGAAGCTTCCTTGGCTGACCAGAGAAATCCAGAGCAGTCTACGGGCTAAAAGGGGGGCATATAAAAAGTGGAAACAGGGAGAGA